AAGAACTCAAAAAAATTAGAACCCCTCCCCCAAAATAAAAGACCCAATCAAAACATGGGCAACTGAAATCACTTCTCACAAGAATTACAAATGGCCGATAAATGCATGAAAAAGTGTTCAGTATCTCTGGCCACTAGAGAAATACAAATTCAAACAACACTGAGGTTCTATCTTATTTCAAAAGAATGGCTATCATCAAGAAATCAAATAAGAACAAATGCTGGCAAGGCTTTGGGGAAAATGGAAGTCTTCTCCATTGTTGGTGGGAATGTAAACTAGTACAACCATTATGGAAATCAGTATGGAGACTCCTCAAAAAACTGAAAATAGAAATTCAATTTGACCAGCTGTTTCTTTTCTAGGTATCTTCTCAAAAGAGTTAAAGACATCCTATTTCAGTGATGCATGGATACCCATGTTTATAGCAGCACAATTCAGAATAGCTGGAAGTGGCTTATATGTCCATCAACAGATGAATAAAGAAAAGATATTAGAGTACTATTTTTGCCTTAAAGAAAGATAAATTTGAGTCATTTGGAGGAAAGGAAATGCACCTTGAGACCATAATATTGTGAAATAAATCAGACACACAAACTTAAATGTCACGTGGTTTCTCTTATATGAGGAACTCAAAGTATAAATTGAAGAACAAAATAAGATAGATAATAAGACAATAAAGTGCCCATAGGAATTAAAAAGAAACTATCCATTAGTAGTTTTTGTTTGTTTGTTTGTTTTTTTGGTACCGGGGATCGAACTCTGGTCCTTGCACTTGTGAAGCAGGCAACGAAACCACTGAGTTAAATCCCTGGCCCTATCCATTAGTAGTTTTAAAAAATTTATATTAATCACAATAAAGTTTAACTCTTGATGTCTGGTTTTTTGGTGTAGGAGTAAGCATGAATCTCAAGTTAAGTGTAGTGTTTAATTAACAGAGTGAAACTGAGTTGACTCGGGGAAGGCCCCTTGGATCCTACTTCTGGCATAACTCATTTGCAACAGACTGAATTGTATGTTATGGCTGACATTTTAAAAATTTTGTCCTTGATTCCTTTGAGAGGAAGCATTAACTCAGTATATTAAATACTGCGTAGAATCCCCAGAACTGAGTATTTTAATCCTATCAAATGTGTGTCAGCATATGGTTGAAAAAGAATGGAAACTTGCCACTTCAGTTTCATAGTTTACAAAGTCATTCTTTCAAATAATCCCCCTTCATGGGCTATAGGGCAGTGTAACTAAAATAATATTCCTGATATAAGAAAAAGAATTGTCAAAGTAAGTTCCTGTAATTGATCTAAAATACCCTGTTAATGCTGGATTTTCAAATAATAGTTGTCCTTTTTTTTGGTACCCGGGATCAAACTCTGGTCCTTGCACTTGCGCAGTAGGCGACAAAACCACTGAGCTAAATCCCCAGCCCTCAAAATTTGACTAGGATCCTCTTTTTTTTTTTTTTTCTGGTACCGAGGATTGAACTCAGGACCTTGTGCGTGCGAGGCAGGCGGCAGAACCACTGAGCTAAATCCCCAGTCCAGTTGTCCTTTCTTTTGAAAAAAGTTACATTCATTCATTCACTCATTATCCACTCACAAAATGATTCAATTAACACTTACTAAATACTCCATGGCAAGTCTTGCACTACGTACTGCTCATATAGCCAAAAACAAAGCTCAGTGAAGCTTACTTTCTTAGAGTGTAAGGGAGAAGAAACATAAAAGTAGAGAGAAATAGAGATAGAACTAGAGATAAACCACATGGTACTCTGGAGGAAAATAAATATAGGGTAATTAGGATGGGAAGGTAGACTTGGTATTAGTACTGCTGGTGCTTTTCATAAGGGAAAGTCAGGGAGAGCCTCTCAGTAATGACATTTGTGCACGGACCAAAAGGGACTGAGCAGCATGGATATCCTCTGGATGAAGAGTAATGCAGGTGGGGCAGTGCCTGGTGGGCTGAAGGGCAGTATAGAGGCCTCTGTAGTTGGCAGGAAGGTTGTGGAAGGGACCTGGATCAGAGAGGGGTCTGTAGGCCATTGCCATGACCTCTGCTTTTTTCTTGAGGTGGGAATCTACTAAGGGATTTTGGATAGAGAAGTAATAATTCACTTTTTTAAAAAAGGTTTATCTTGAATACTGGGTAGAGAACTGCCTGTAGGAACAAGGATATAAACAAAGAAACCAGCTGAGATCTCTGGTGTTTAAACAGAAATTAAATGGCACTTAGGTGTTTTATTTCATGGACCTATCACCACCATTGTGCTTTACTGCTAACCATAATAATTGTGTTATCCAAATGTGTATGAATGACACCTGGCACATTTGAGCCACATTAGTAATAATTTAATAATATGTAAATAATAATATGGTATGGATCGTGTAAGTCCTCTATTTAATGCTTAATGAATTTTTGGACACTCTACTTTCTCTACTATTTTTATTTAATAATGTTGTACCATTCTTTTAGCCACTCACATTGAACTTTAGTCATTTATGACTTTTCCCTCTACTTCTGCACATGAAGTTTCTGTTGTTGCCTTTGAATCTGTCTCCTCCTGTGATTCTCCATTTTGGTTTCAAGCCCTATTAGCCATCAAATTATCCTCCTCTAATCCTTGTGAAATTCAACAAACAATATAGGTTTTTGAAGTGAGACTTTGATTTAGATTGGTTCAGATCTTTGTTTTTTCATGTATTGGCAGAGTAGGGTCTTTTGCAAATTTTGAACCTCAATTGTCCCTCTACAACAATATAAATATCTAATTTATGTGTGTCTAATTTATAAGTAAATTATTGAGTAAATGGGACTATGAAGTATCTATGAAGGGCTTGGCGGTGAGTAAGCATTGAGAAATGTTGGTTCTTTTCACCTTGTTGACTTTACTCCATCCTTGATATATCTGGCAGATCGTGAAGTATAGCTCTCATTGTGTCATTCCTCTTGTCAAAACGTGCAATAGCTCTCTATTGCCTCACATGTAAATATAGACTTATGACATTCAGATCTCCATACTTCTTTTTTTCAGATCTCCATACTCTTAACTCCAACATTTTCCCCATCAGTCTTTTCCTTGTATTAGCCAAAATATTTTATAACTATTTGCCATTTTTATATAAAATGTCATCCCTGTTAAAATCCTATCTTTAAATCCTGTCATAAATACAGTATTATTGTCTTCACAAAAATCACCATCTGGAAGTGGTTTCTTTGAATCCTGAAATATTCTTCTACTTGGAGAAGGCATCATCCTGACACTCTGGAGCCAGAGAATCCTGCCACTTGCAGTCATCCTGTGGATGTTACTTAATCTCTGTGCCTGTTTCCCATGCAGAATGGGCCAATCATATGAGATACTGCATGTGAAGCACTTTCAGTAGTGTCTAGTATTTGGAAATTAGTTAAATCAGTTTCTATTATTGTAGACATGAATATTTTATCTTCAAAACCAATAGTTTACAAGGTCTTCAAATAAAAACAGGTATAGTGAAAAGACTAGAAAACAGACTTGGATTCCACCATTGGTTCCCACTATTAACCAGGCTGTGTAATGTTGAGTATGTTATTTATCTTCTTAGGACTTTAATTCTTTCAGCTTCAGAAAAGGGGCTGAGCAGGGGCTGGGGATTTAGCTCAGTGGCACTGTGTCTGCCTCAAAAGCCTCAAGGTCCTCAGTTCAATCCCCAGTACCAAAAAAAAAAAAAAAAGAAAGAAACTAGGCTGAGCAAACATCACTGAACTTTCTTTTAGTTCACATAGCCACACATTTAATAGCTACCTTCAACTCAACCCTACTAAAACAGAATTCTTAATTTCCACACGTCTAAATGTGCTCCTTTTCTATCCTCAGTAAATGATACTACCATCTACCCAGTTTGAGTTAAAAATGAGTCCTCTTCGAATTACCTATTTTTTTCACCATCTATATTTAATCTATCTGCAAATACTTTTAATTCCACTTCCAAAATATATCGAGTCCATCTACTTCTCACCATCACCACTACAACTCTAGTCCCATATTCTGTCATCTGTACTGTTGCCATAGGTTCCTAACCACTATCAGAAAATTGCTTATCACTCTCTGTAGAAATTAAATGGCTGCATAATAGAGCCTGTTTCCTAGCATAATGCCTGCCACCTAGCAGGTATGGCAGGAAAAAATTTCGAATACATGAAAATCGACTTTTTCTGAGGTATCAAAATTTTACATTGTGTCTTATTTTTAAGATGTGAGAAACCAATAGGTTTTCCTTTCATTTATTCCCTCATACAGAACATTATTAAGCACATTTGCTTGTGTCGAAAATAGGACTGCAAATAAACTAGTAATACAATCACAAGCGTCTTTTCCCCAACCGACTGTGTAGTTCTCAAATTTACTCTTCTCTCCATCTCCTCTCCCACACTAACCTTGGTGTAAATTACCATCCTCTGTCCTTTTCTGGGTAGGTTCTACTCTCCCAATAATCTATTCTACATACTGCAGCCAGCGAATTTTTCAAACTTTACTTTACCCATGCTTGAAAACTTGTGGAGTTTTCATTGTTCCTAAGAAAGACCAGTCTCTGCCCTCCACCACCTCTCCTCACGCCAGGCCTTGTTCTGACCAGGCCACACTCCTCCCCTACCAGTTCTCGCCTTCCACTAGCTCAGTGGCCCTAGCTTCCGGTTTCCCGCAAAATTCTACAGCGCATTCGGGTTGCCTAGTTCGTCGTGTTTCAGGAGATGGTCCTTTCCTTAGGGAAGCTCTCCCTGATTAAGCGAAGTCCCACTCCACGTCACAGAGCCCCACGTCATCAAGGACCTCTCTTTCTGAGTTTACATTTCAGTATACACTCCTAAACACATAATCTTATCACTGTGTGTTCACGCGTACTTGGGCTCGGTCACTATTTGCATTAGAAAAGCACAGCTCCGCGGCCCAGCCACTGATCGCCCCACCCACTACAGCTGCGGCGCCACTGTTACACGCATTAAGCAGTCGCCTTCTGTTAGGGCGCCTGCGCAAAGGGCTACGCATGCGCGCAGCGGCGAGCTCGCTGACAGATTCTGGGAGGCAGCGGCAGCGGCGGAGGCGGAGGCCCTGGACTTCGGGGAATGGGAGCGTTATCGCCCTGACTGAGCACCGCCCCCGCCTCCCTGTCGCCGACATGGCTCAGGAGAAGATGGAGCTGGATCTGGAACTGCCTCCGGGTACGGGCGGGAGCCCGGCGGAGGGCGGCGGCAGTGGCGGCGGCGGGGCCCTCAGGAGGTCTAACAGCGCCCCCCTGATCCACGGCCTCAGTGACACTTCGCCGGTGTTCCAGGCCGAGGCGCCGAGCGCTAGGCGGAACAGCACAACGTTCCCGAGCCGCCACGGCCTGCTGCTACCGGCCTCCCCGGTACGCATGCACAGCAGCCGCTTGCACCAGATCAAACAGGAGGAGGGCATGGACTTGATCAACCGAGAGACGGTCCACGAGCGCGAGGTGCAGACCGCAATGCAGATAAGCCACTCCTGGGAGGAAAGTTTCAGTCTGAGTGACAACGATGTGGAGAAATCCGCCTCCCCAAAGCGCATCGATTTCATTCCGGTGTCACCAGCACCGTCACCCACCCGGGGAATTGGGAAGCAGTGTTTTTCACCATCCTTGCAAAGTTTTGTGAGTAGCAACGGATTGCCTCCAAGCCCTATTCCCAGCCCAACTACTCGGTTTACCACCCGGCGAAGCCAGAGTCCCATCAATTGCATTAGACCGAGTGTTCTTGGACCATTGAAAAGAAAATGTGAAATGGAAACTGAATATCAGCCAAAGAGATTTTTCCAGGGCATCACCAACATGCTTTCTTCTGATGTTGTACAGCTGTCAGACCCCGGTGTGTGTGTATCTTCTGATACCCTTGATGGAAACGGCAGCAGGGCGGGATCTTCTTGTAACTCACCAGCGAAAGGCAGCACTACCACCGACTCTCCTGTGTCACCTGCCCAAGCGGCCTCTCCCTTTATTCCAGTAGATAAACTTTCATCTAAGTGATTCACCCATCCTGAAACTTTTTTTTTTCTTTTTGCAGTGGAGAGACAAAAAAATCAAGTTGGAGCAAGCACTGAACTTTGTCGATTAATTTGAGACTTATTTCCTATTTGACCCCTGTCCTTTTTTTTGGAATTTCCTGAATTGTTACTCTAGAGAACTTTTATGTCAGGTTCCTGCAGATGCCCTTGAATTCAGTGTAGTAATATTTTCAGACTTCTTCCCAATAAGTGTGTTGAAGCATACATTTTACGCTGCTAATATGTCTAAATACATGTTATCCCTTGATTTTTTTAAATAATTGAGAGCTCTATTTATTTATAGGATTATTAAGTTCTGATGAAAATATAAATGTTGAATTTATCAGTATAGTAAACTGATGTTTTAAAATTTCATATTTCATGGCCACACTAATTTTTAATGTTATTTTCAGCGATTGCTAATTTCCATTTGAGAAAAATAACTTAGCTATTTACAGCTTTTTAAAAAATATGTTAAATCAATCCAGTGGTTGTCTACCCAGGAATCCTTGGATTTTTAATTTTCTGGGTACAGAAGTGGATGGGAGGGGAAATGATAAAAGAACAAATTATACCAGTTTGCAACAAATCTTTTAAATTCAGTGTATAGGAGTAAGCATATTTAAGAAAAATGTTTTCTAATGAAACTTTAATAATTCTACTATACAGAAAATGAGAATTTTCTTTTTAAAAATACTTTTAACCAGAAAGTGCATTCTCTTAGGTATAATCCTAAAGTGCAATGGGATAGTGCCTTGCTGTCTGAGCTCACTACGTATAGGCTGAGGCAAGGCTTTTTGTACCATTTAAGATTTAAGTTTTTCAAATATAGATGTGTGGGAAGCCCTATTGAACTTAAGCAAAGCACTCAGGCAGACAGTACTCTTTCAATCATTGATATACCTTAAACTACCCAGTCGTGCCTCAATTCTGAAAATTCTTGCCAGTGAGAGCCAGAGCAATTTTTGGCTGCTTTTCTGCTCTGCCCATCTGTCACCTGCTTGGTATTCTCTTGCTCAGGAAGGAAGCAGCTGTTTCCTTGCCAACAGGTCTTTTCTTTCCACCTCCCACCAAACTAGGGCACCATCAGTTAGAAAAAGGTACAGTGCGACTCGGGTTTCTGACAGTGAGCAACAACAGGTCTGTGAGTTGTTTAACCTCTGTGGTTAAAACTACAGCTGTAGTTGATTCCTTGGGGATGTTGATTAATTAAGGACTGATGATTTGCAAGAGAAAATCAGTGGAGAGTCACATAGGTAAATCATTATTTTACTTAAGTTTTGTTAAAGGTGGAATTGTTTAATGCTTTTTCCTTTGTCTTTTACAAGTAAGACAAAACATTTAATAAGAATAGCAAGTGATTTTAATATTATACTTTCTTATATTAGATAGATAGGGCAAGCAGACAAAGAGGGAGGGGGTAAAAAAACAAATAAAAAAAGAACAAGACCAAAACCCCAGCTTACTTTTTAAAGTTACTGCCTACAAAGACTTTAACAGTTATGTGGAATTTTTACAACTATGAGAATAAATGGAACTGGTCAACTCTTACAGTTGCCTGAAGTTTCAGTGACATCAAGGGTAAGATTGTGTCCATACATTTACAATTTTCTATTCTGGGTGATGTGTTTCTCAATTCAGACCTGTATATCCAGCTTCCTGCTGGGTACCTTGACCTGCTTTAACCACAGGTACTTTAAACTAATCACCTTCAAAACAAATTCATTATCTCCACACTTACCCTGTTCTTGTAATAGCTAAAGTGATGCCATCACTGTCTTGTTTCCTACACTAGAAACCATGCAAGCATATTTGACTTTACATTTTCTGTGTCACATCCAGCTTAACCATCAAGTCCTATCAACTACTTCTAAAATGAATCTCAAATCCATTTCTGTTGTTGTTGTTTTAGTTTAAATTCTTGCCTAAATGATCTTCCTGTTTTCTGCCTCTCTTTTGATCCAGTCTTCACACTGGCTTTGGAGTGATCTTTCTAAAATATAAACTTTATTTTTTTCCAACTCGCCTGCTTGAAATGATTGAAATGATTGTTTTTGTGTGGGGTTTTTTTGGGGTTTTTTTGCCTACTCTATATAAAGACCTTCAGAATAAGGATACGACCATATTCTAGAATGGTGTCAAGCCTCTCTTCATCTGAATTCCCATTCTTCTTTCTTTACAAACCCTGGACTACTTGGGTTTGTAAAGACTATTCTTTGAATGTGTCATGCACTTGCTATTCTTTAGATATGCCATTACCTATGCTTTTTGATAGGTTATTCCATCTTCCTAAAATGACATTCTACTTTCAGTCAAGCAAATGCTTTTTTTCTTATTGCATGTGAAGTTAACTATGAAAACAACGTATACCTACTGACTAAAATATTTAAGCAATGTAGACATCTATATATATGATTTTTAAAAATCCACCTTTTATTATGTAATCTCTTAGGTAACTTCTGTTAACAATTTGCTATATATTGTGCAAGATGTGTTCTGCATTACGGTGTATATATGTATATAAATGCAGGAAACCAACATGTCATTGACATCTCTTACCATATCTAATCCCTCACCAAATCTTACTGCTTTCATCTTCTAGAATCTCCTTTTTATCTCTCCTGCCAATCCAGATCCAGGCTGTCGATCATTTCCTTTGTAGGCTTCTAACTCCCACTTTTGCCTAACCCACTCACTTTGATCAGCTACCTGTTCATTCTCTCTAAAGCAACTAGAGTTATCCTCTTAAAACTGCAGATGTGATCTGTCTCCTGGCTTACAGCTTTTTATTTGCTTCCTGTTTTTCTTATGAATATACTATAAAGTATTAATCCTGGCCTAGGAGGCCCTGAGGAATCTGGCCCTCACCTCTTCCTCCTCTTATTTTCTGTGCTCCACCCTCACTGGCTAGTTTGCTTCTTAAATACATCATGTTCTCTCCTGTTTTATGAGATCCTTTTCCCTGAAAGCATGGAAAACTTTATTTCTGTAAACTTATTCTTTTATATAGATGGTAAATTTTAAATTAGCTAAGTCTTAAGTTCATACAATTTACATTATCATAGTATTGTTCATTACTTTAATCACTCTTCAGCTCATGTAAAAATTGTCCTTCAGAAACCATATTTATGGTATCAATATTGCTAAACTATAAACTTTGTGCAAAAAAGTCCGTAACATATAAAGTACAGTTTGTCATATATAATAAAATTCTGTGGTAGTTTTATCATTCTTATGTCCATTAGAAACATAGTGTAAATGGAAGAAATAATTAACAGTCACTATATCCAAGTCTGCTGGGTTCCAGAACCTTTAAGTGTACTTAAAAGATTGTAATTAAGAGCAACTTATATCAGGTTGCCTACCAGTGATTCGTATTAGTCCAGCCCACTACCATTATATACCTACAGTAAAAAACCACATGAGCTACTTGGCAGTAAAATGGGTTAAGAATCAAAACTTATGAAGGAAATAAAACACAGAACTTTTTTTCCCTGTAGGTATGTTTAGCATTAGTAGAAAAGTTTGAACATTCAAATGAGCTAGACAGTAATAGTTGGTTGCCAGACAATGAGCTGAGGAGGATGATGTAACCTCCAATTCCTGGATAGCATCAGAGAACAGAAGAAAGTGTTTGCCTTAGAAAGGTGGAATGGAACTTTTTTTTTTTTCTAAAACCAAAAGGAGAAGGCTAGATAAAGTCATCAGTGTTGAATTGATTGCTATTGGAGTAGTTCAGGGATTCAGAGGAGGATAGATGGATGGAAAGGAGAATGAACTTGTATCTGATTGCTTCTATATCTCAATTACTGAGAAATCTAGGATATTTGTGGGTGAGGGCAGCAGTGGATTTGGAAGCTTGAGTGGAAAATAAAGACTTAATGTTGCTCTCAGAATCTGGATGTAAAGGAGTGATTTAAGGGCGAGTCAGTTTATTGGGCCATATTGGATGCCACATTGCAGTTGGATAGTAGTTACAAAGGAAGTGGTTAAATCGACTAGATTTGAGAATTAGTTAAGTGGGAACTAAAGTCCAATGAATAAAACAATTAAGGGTTCTGCTAAAAATGTAATTTGAATGATTGGCCAAGCCATTGAGGATGGTTAGAGAAGTCAACAGAGGGTGGAGGACTAGGCCACTTTTTTCAAAGTCCTACTTATGATCAGCCAGGCCAAAGTATGCAGAGAATCTAATGTCACTGTATCATTTTTTCCATTATTTTTTATGAGTTATTTTGTTTAGCTAGAGAAATGCCCCATAGTCAAGATTTGACTTCCAATATTTGATAAAAGTTTGTGTTAACAACAGCTAAGACACCATTCTTTAACATCCAAGTAAAAATTTTTCTTAGAAATTGAAATAATCTTTATATCAAAGATAATAAAATACTTGCTATATGTCAGGCACTATTCTAAGTGCTAAAAATATGTATTAATACATTTAATTTTTATTATAGTCATCTAATTTTTATCACTTTAGAAATGAAGAAGTAGAGACACAGCAGTTGCTCAGGATTCCAAAGCTGGGAGGTAGGCAGTGTATTATACTGGTTCAGAATGCAAGACTGCAAAGCCAGGTGGTTGTGGTGAGGATTAAATTGGAGAATGTATGTAATGCACTTCAGTAACAGTGCTGAGCAGTTTCTGTGAATTGTCAACTATCATTATTGTGGGTGATGATTGTCATTGTCACTTGGACTTGCTAAGGAATCTTTTATCATCCTTGATTGATGGAACTTCTGCTTTGACATCCAGTAACAGCACACTCTCAGCCCTTCAAGGCAGCCTGTCCTTTTCTAAGATGTTTTTGATGTTTAAAAGTCTCTCTTATACTGAACAGACATTTCCCTCCATAACTTCTAGTGTTTAATTCAAGTCCAGCTTGCTGGAAAATGGAGAACAAGCCTTATCCTTTTTTTAATGTGTTGCCCCCCCTTTAATCAGAAACACCACTACTTCTCTGATGACTGCTTCTGGCTTCTGGAGTTTAGAAATCTTGAGCATTTCTTCAGAGTGCTTCCTCTGTGAAATAAGGCTATTATTACTTGGCAACCAAGATATACTCAGAAGATTGTGATTCCTTCAAGACTGCCTTCCAAGGTGGGAAGTGAGAGATGGCCTAATAACCAGAGTTTTTGCCAATAATAAAAATTAGTGTCAGTCTGAGCACTCAATATAGATCTAGATCCTGCTTTCAGTGATTATATGCATGAGTTCATTTAATCCTCATGACAACACTAAGAGGCAGGTGCTGTGAATATTCTCTTCTTGTTTAACAGACTAGGAAAACAAGTACATTTTTTCACACTTCTGTTACTTCCTGTTTTTTCACTTTTAAATTTAGGTTCTTTTTGTTTTTCCTGATAAATAGTATTTTTTTTTTCTTATTTGAGATAAAGCCTGTTTTCCACCAAACAACTTGTTCATTTTGTTAATGCTGCCACTTCTGGTTTTATTCAAATTGTATGTTTATTATTAGATATTATTATCAGAGGAATATACCAAGAGGATTATTTTCTTTTATAATAGGTAAAAAAGTGTATAGGAAGAAATCACTGCTTTGCATATTTTTAACTGATAACACATTTGAAGTAAGGAAATAGCCAAACCACAAATTTTAGTGTTTTTATTATTTCCTTTAAATATGCATAAACTTTTGTTTACATACATGTATCTCTTTGTTATATTTTATTTATGCACTATGAAATTGATTTGGTTGTTTTTAGTTTTATTGTACCTCAGGAAGAACCAATTTGATCCTTTTCTCCTCCCCTCCAAAAAAAACCTCTGCATATTAAAAATGTGTCACTTTTTTAAAAGAAAAAGTAACATAAAGAATGATCCCAAACTTCTTATTACCTAAATAATAACAAGTTTGAAAAAAAAATAACAAGTTTGACTTCTTTCTGTACTGAAAGCTTTTCCCAGGGTGAAAAGTCAAGTAATCCTTGAGAAACCTTAATTTTACTTCATAGACTATCATTTTGCCATAGAGTAAAAGAACTCAGAAAAAGAAAACTTCCCTTTGAATGCATTCAAGAATTAGTACTTAGACTTCAAATTTCACATAGTAATGTCCTTGATTTTTTGAAACAAATTGAAAGCCAATTTTTAAAGTTCAATGACTATTTAAAAAATCACTTCAAAAGTGACGTGTAGTTCTTTCTACATATAGCTAGTTAGGCAAATAACATCAAATACTGGAGCCTGATGCACACATGCCCAAATGCGTATGAGCACACACAGATACACAAAAGACCTACCTCGTGCACCTTTTTTCTGTGGGCCTAGAGTCATATTTAGCTTTCTGCCCTTTTCAAATTTCCTTCTGTTTTCCCCTCATCAGTTTTCTTAGGTTGAATTTTGCAGTGTTACTGAAACACACACACAAAGGTACTGCTGAGCTTTACATAAAGTGTTTTGTGCTTTGATTTTGTATCACCTTTGCACATTTCAAGTGCTGTGCTAAAAGAGAAATACCGCGTACATGTGTATAGGCTCTCTGCCTGATTTTTATTTTTCCTTTTCGAATTTCTAGAATAAATGCATGTGGAAATGTGAAAAATCACTCCTTAACAAATTCTGAGGCAGCACGACTGAAATTGGAGAACTGAGAACCTATTGCTTTTTCTTACTTGTGAAAATTCACTTCTATAGCAATGCTATGAATCATTCTGGTTCTTTTGCAGTTGCCTACAGTGGTCCCCCAAACCAAACTAACGTCTAAGGCTTGGAGGGTAAGGCACATGTGAAAAAAGACAGTTGTGCCCTAGCAAAGCAAAATGATGGTTTGAGGTAATCATTCCTGTGATTCAGGCAACCCTTTCACCTTGCTTTAAGGACAAAGAAAGATTTTATTGTTGCTTGCAGGCAGATTACCAGAACCCCAAGTGACAAGTAGCTGTTCAATATTGGTATCTTTGGGAAAGAAAAATATGAGACGTTGGGGAGGGAACGGGAAGGGGGTGTGTGGATGGATTGGGTATTTCTTTTGGCATTGTGAATATTCCCTTGGACTATCACTAGGAGCTCCCCAGTGATCAAGCAGAGTGACACTGAGGGTAGTTTTCTTGAATGTTTATTTACTCTTTGTTTCACTTCATTTAGATGTAGAGTTGAATCATGATGTGTTTAAGAATTTCTTTGAGCCTCTTTCCCTTAGTGTTCTGTGCTTTGAGTCCTCTGAAAAAACTGGTAAATAATAATGATGATGGTAGTAATTGTCAGGTTACTTTGGTTTTTTTGGTACGGGGGATCCAGCTTGGGTACTTGGGCTTGCGAGGCAGGCAGCAGAACCACTGAGCTAAATCCCCCGCCCTTGTCAGGTTACTTTGAAACGAAAATTACAATTCTTGGTGCCCTTTCTTTTATCAGTTTTTACTGTGTTCCTAACTCTTGATTTAAAATTTCATATCATTTAGTCATTCTCAAGGCCTCATTTACCACATAGAGTGCTACAAGATATTTCTAAAATGCAAACCTGAGTATACAACTTTGATGACTATTTCTTAACTACATGATAAAAATTAAATTATGCGGTATTGGTGAAGGAAGACTTCGCCACCTCCACATATCCCCTCAATTCCAGGACTCCAGCCACACGGAGCTGCCTGTGGTTCACGCTCCAATAGTATCTGTGCTTTCAGGCAAGCCATGGCCTCTCCTTAGTACACTCTCCCCTTCCTCCACACTTCATACTAACCTTTCTCCTTACAGCTGTCCTGATGGCCCCTGTTTCTGCAGTGGCTTTGTTTTGTGATTCTGTTGTATCCAGGGCTTCCCTTTGTAAAAACTATTAACAGCCTGAATTGTATTTATATGGCTTCTTGTTTCTTCACCTCATGCAAAAATAAAGACTAACCTTATTACTTCTATCCTTAATGCCTATGCATAGCATATTATAGTCACCCAAATTTATGTTGAGTAGATGAATTAATGAATGGATAAATTATGTATTAATACACATTGTTTTGTGGTGAGATTTTATTTTTCATTGTCAATTACAGTACCATTTAGAAATTGACTCAACAAATGTTTATTAAGCATTTACTGTGGTACACAGTTTTTAAGAGAAAGAAATGTAGGAAGATTCTTAGAACAGATCGCATGACTTTGCTCCTTATAGTTTGCTAAAAGACTAAATATTCATTAAGCAAATGTGATGTGAGCACCTATTTGTATCTTACTGGCTAGTCTCTTAGGGTGCATTAGTGTACAAAACAAAGACTCTTGCCCTATAGAACACGCATTTTGCTTATATTCTAAGAGAGTGGAAGGGGAGGCAGTTATATGTGTGTGTATATGTAATGTAAAAAGGCCAGGGTGCAGAGTTATTGAAAGGAAAAGTAGGTGGGGGTTAGAAAGATGGTCAGCTGTGGGGATTGTTGCCAACACAGATGGCATAGAATTTGTGTGCCATTGAAGGACACTGGCTTTGCTGATGAATTAATTGGAGAGCCATTTTAGGGTTTGAGCATAGGAGTGACATGTTCTATCTTAAGTTTTAAAAGGAACCCTCTTGGTGAGTCACGAATAGACTCTGAGGGGCAGGGTACAAACAGAGGCACCAATTAGGAGACTTTCCAGTTACCCAGGCAAGGGATGATTGTAGCTTGAGTGAGAATATTAGCAGTGAAGGTAGCAGTGGTTAAATCCGAGAGAGAGAGAGAGAGAGAGAGAGAGAGAGAGAGATTTTTTTTTTTTTTGGTACCGGGGATCGAACTCGGGTCCTTGCGCTTGCGCAGCAGGCGGCAAAACCACTGAGCTAAATCTCCAGCCCCCTTAGATATATTTTGAAAGTAGAACCATCAGATTTTGCTGGCAGATTAAGGTAGCCATGAGAAAAGAAGAGAAAAGTTAAGAATGAGTCCACGGTTTTGTGCCTGAACAATTGAAAGAGTTGAAGTTCCATAAAGAGAGCTGGAAATTTGTGGGTAGAGGTTTGTTTTTTGTATAATTGGGGCTGTGGCAACAAGGGGGAATTTTGGATATATTAAGTAAGCTATCTTTATTAGAGATTCAAGTGGAGATATCAAGTAAACAGCTAAATCTAGAGTTCAGGAAAATAGCTGCACTGAAAATACACAGTTGGGAGTCATCTGCCTGTGGATGCAATTAAAGTCAAGAGAGTAGATAACATTACTAAAGGGTTAGTGTCAGTAGAGAAGAGAATAATAACTAAGTTTTGGGGCATACTATAACATTAAAAGGTCAGGAAACAGAGACTGACAAGGAGCAAGCAGAGGGATAAGAAAACCAAGAAGGTATGGTGTCCTGAAAGACAAGGGAAGGAAATGTGGAAAAGAGGATGTAGTGATCCAGTGTGTCAGTTGCCTCTGATCTGTCAAGGATGCAGGATTCAGTAACATGCAAGTTACAGGTCACCTTCCTGAGAGTCAAGTCAGTAGTGTGGTGGGACAGGAGCTGATTAAAGAGGACAGAGTCAGCAGAATCTAGGACAGCCAGATGGCTGAGGAAAGAACCAGGAGATCTAAGTCCTTGAGATTAAAGAGCAACTAAAGCAAAAGGTCATCACCCTCCCCCTGTTGTTGATAAAATGTTAAGTGTTTCACAAATATTCCTTTACATACTTATCACTATAGTTTGGGTGGAAAATCAAAGATAAATGACAGTTTTCTTTCCTCTCCCCACCTTTTTGATGCTTTGTGAGGACAAAAAAATCTGTAAGTTAAGTGTTTTTATTCCAAACATGAGTAAACTGTTCAAGCTAAAAGCTTAGTGATTCACTGGCTTTGTGGATTTGTCTGCTTCATTTAATTCTCTTGTTAGCTATTTTCCTTGATGGCTGTTTTCTACTTATAAATTGAAACTTATTTCCATATTTGTGACACAGTTATTTCTGCAAGTTTGGCCCAGTTTCTTAACCCAGAGACATTTTCCTTTTTAGTGAATGCTGTGAATGTTTTAGAAAGTAGTTCATTGTGGGTCAGAGATTTAGCTCAGTGGTTCCGCCGCCTGCCTCAGAAGCACAAGGTCCTGAATTTGATCCCTGGTACCAAAAAAAAAAAAGTAGTTCACTTTCCTCTTAGGTTTTATTTAAGGACAGATTTTTTTTCCTCATTTCTTTTCAAAATTATTGCTTAACAGTGGGAGAAGAGAGGACCAATAATGATAGGAGAGAGAAAGTGTTTCCCTCATTTTGAATTGCTAGGATTTTCTTCTAAGTATAAAATATTGTCAGGTTCTGTTTTGTGGGTTGGATGTTCCATGCTGATCCTTTATAGAGGAGGACTCAGAGACATTCAAGCCATACTTACACTCAGGAGAAAAGAACATCTGGAATTACTTATCTCTTCTAATATTGCATTTCTGTCTTTCAAGACTCCAATCAAGTACTGCTCACATCATGGAGTGCCCTCTCATTCTTCTGTCTCTAGGTAGTATTGTTTTTCCTCTGAGTCACTGTACTACCTGTTGCCTGTACCCTTTATGTTGTTGTTGTCATTGTTTGTCAGTAGTTTAAAATGCTTAACTTATGAACGTGGGGTAGAACTACATTCCATACCTAACCCTTTCCCATTTCCCGACTTTAAGATTTTAGACAAATTAATCTTTGTGTGCCTCTGTCTCCTCATCTATTAAGTGGGAGTAGTTTCTACTTAGTAATAAGGGTTAGAAAGGGAGAATGCATATAAAAATATTTATTAAAAACATAATGAATAAATGCAAACCTAAAGAAAAAACCCCTATCTTTATGGCAGATTTCCTGAAGGAAAGAAAACAGTTGTTTATTCAACCTCTCCTAATACCAACTCTCATCTATAGAAAGAACTCAGTGTATATTTACTAATGATGATAGCACTTGGGATATGTGTGGAATGTTTGCTCTTGGAAACTGCAGTGTGCATGTCTTGATATGCACATTGATGAAGTATTAGCTTTAGGAAATCTTCCAGACTAAAATTCTTATGGTGCAGTCTGGGGGAGTGATGTTACAATTTTGATAATCCCTTTTAGTTTTCCTGACACTCATGAAAATTGCTAGGTTTCCCCTATTCATTCAGGTTTTCATAGCCCAGAATTCACAAATCTGCTTTAATTTTCATAGAAATTACCAGAATTTGTAGAATTAGAGGGGAATTAATTTTTAAGCAAACTTTCATATGCCACATACTTAAATAGTGTAGAAAAAGATGAAAATGAAAGAACCAAATAGACTTTAAAAATAAACTCCTAATGCTAAAAATTGTAAATGTTTATATATGACAAGCAAAATGACTTCTTCACTGAGATGCCACTGTTATAGTCCCATGTTTATTGTTTCAGGCTTTTTCTATGATTAAATACTATACATTTGTGATTTCCATACAAAAATAGCATCCTATTGTCTATTTAGCTCCATATATTGCTTTTTTCCATACAATATGCAATGACTTTCATTTATTGTTATTTATTTGTTTGTTTGTTTGGTACTGGTGATCAAACTCAGGACCTTGTGCTTGTGAGGCAGGTGTGGTGCCCCTGAGCTAAATCCCCTGCCCCCAATGACTATTTTAAATATACTTCTGCATCATTTTAGTAGTTACATGATATTTTGTTCTATGAATGTACCACATTGTAATTACAGTTAATTAACTGTTACTGACTCTGCAGGGTTTTTTGTCAAACAGTGTTTTGATGTACATATGATGAAACTTAGAGTTTAAAGACTACAAATATTTCCTGTACTTGACAATATAAAATAGCTGACATGCTAATTTTAATTCAGTTTGTTCATTCTTATACATTCCTTTCTTATACTGTCCATTTTTAGTGATTTATTTTACAATGATATTTGGAGCTCTTATGCAACTAGGAAAAAATTATTCTCTGAGAATAATCTGTATTTCAGTTTTTTAATGAACCTAACACAGCCTTTTCCTTGGTTGATCCAAATTGTAGAGTGTGATAATGTCATTAGTAAAATGCTGCTCTGACATCTTTATGATATAAGCCAGAGTGATCCATAACTCAGGATTACTGAGGTTGCCAGGAGATCTGTTGTCATTATTCTTCTGCAGTTTCAGTGGAGAAAGACTGGTGCATGGGGAGGCAGGGGACCAGAAGGGGGAGGACAGGGTTAGACATCTGTTCCACAGACTTGAGGTCTACCACTATTTGCATCTTCATAGGTATAGTAACTTGAAGTCCCAAAATTTTCTAGATTAGTTAAGATACCATTCATTCCCTGGCTGCTTCTTAAGACATCTCAGAAAAACTAGCATTTTTTACATCAAAAATGACATTTCTGTTTTATACAATGAAAAAATGGCACAAAAGTCCTTTATGATATCCTGTTTGTTAGTTTTAGGATTCAGTATGGTCTTCATATTTGAAGAGCTTAGGAGAAGGCATAAAGTGGACAAATGGGTTGTTCATTTTTGCAGTAAATGTTTGTTGAATATGTACTATGTGTGTACCTAGCCCTGTGCTTCCTAATTCACTTTTGGTGGAGCACACACATATTTTTAAAAATCTGCAATATTTTATAGTACTTTGTTGGAATATATAATAAGTATGTTTTCAAGATCCCTAGTAACCCAGGGGAAAGAAATACAAAGGTATTTACAGAGAAAGCAGCTCCATAGCAGGTTTATAAATGAGTAGGCATTTGCTAGGAGGAAAAGAAGAACAGAGTTTCATGCAGCATCTCCAAAGAACAAAATATACTCTAGGAATTTCTAGCAAACAAGAATTGCAATGTCCATTTAAATTATGAAGATTACTTGGGTCAAGATTGTGAGGTTTTTTTTTTCTAATTTAGTGTTTTATTTCTCTGTATTTCTGGTGTTTAAAAGAACTTGTTTGTTCTTTGTCAGGAAATTATTAAGTCATTTGATCCTGAAACATTAGATGAAATGGATATGGCATAGTAAGATGTTCTTGTAACTACTTCTTATCTCAATGACAAACTTTTTTTCCTGCATGTATTAAATTGCTTAGAAATTATGGCTGCAGAGTCACAAAGCGATGCAAAGATAGAATAGATGAAGACTACATAGTTTAAATTATCTGCTAAACTTTTGTGCTGTTAATAATCCTCTAAATATGATAAAGCCGGGGATTTAGCTCAGTGGTTCCACCGCCTGCCTCGCAAGCACAAGGTCTTGAGTTTGATCCCCGGTACCAAATAAAATAAAATATGATAAAGATCACTGTGTACATCTGTTGTTCTTTACATTAGAAAGGCCTGGGGGGGAAGAAAAAAAGAAAGGCCTTGGGGGGTACCTTCTGAGATTTCAAACAAAGTAGATTTATAGTGCAAAGGAAACAGAAGTTCAGACTAAATAGATACGCTGTAAGAGAACCATAATGATCTTATTTGAATATTTTCCACATTAACTAAGGCAGGTAATACTATTATCTGTCATGATTTTTAAAATAAAGTAATTTGTTTTCACGACAGTTTTTTAATTTCTTATGGAGTTTCATATAATAGTCAATGTGAATACTTGTGAATACTTTGAAGAAAATAATCTATTAGCGCCCAGATTTAAATTAAATTTCCTTAATGTATGATGATTTCTTTATTAATTTTGAACTTGTTTATAAAGAAGGAGGTTAATTTTTTAAGTTTTAGAAGCCTAATTAACAAAAAATTTGTAATGGGGATGAATTTCTAATACGATTATAAAATTGTTCACTTGGTAAATATTTCTTTTTTTTTTTTTTGTACCGGGGATTGAACTCTGTTCCTTGTGCTTGTGCACTAGGCAGCGAAACCACTGAGTTAAATCCCTGGCCCATGGTAAATATTTCTTGAGCATCTAGTATGGGCCAACTATTGAACTTAAGTAACAACTTTATCTGTAGTTCTTAATAGACATATTAAGACCCTGACTTCGTAGAGTTTACGTTATAGCAAGGAGAAATAGCCACAAAAAGGAAGATAATAAAATGATTACCGATTTCAGTAAATGTTAGGAAAAAAATAAACAAAAGCATAGAGAAACACCTCCTTTGGTAGAATGGTTGGGGGAGGCAATACAGGGAAAAGGGGGGATGGGATGTACAAAGACCTTCAGTAAGAAAAGACCTAGGTTATGTTTGAGCAATTCAAATAAGGCTAATAGAGCTGAAGCATTGTAAGAGGAAGAAGAGCATCCAGTGAGATTGCAGAGCAAGGTAAGCAGCAGACCCTACAAGGTCTGATAGGCCAAGGCAAAGAGTTTAGATTTTATTCTTAATGCAATGGGAATGCATTAAAAGATTTCACACAAGGGATAATGCCCCTTTAAAGACCATTTTTGGCAGGTGGAGAATGGAAGCAGGGGGCCAATTAAAGATTGTTGTAGTTATCTAACAAGAGATGCTGGTATTTGAACTGAGGGTAGTAGAGGAAAGATGGGAGATAAGAAAATAGTTCCTAGAAACCATCAAGATTTGAAAGAAGACATGCTAAAAGAGAAGAGAGAAATCTAGAATAACCTCTAGCTTAAAGACTTGAGTGAAATGGAGAACAAAATGACATTGAACTAGATGAGAAGGCCAGAGGGGGAGGAGTGTAGAGGTACTTGAGTTTTATTTAAAACAATGTGGAGAACCTATGGCACACATGCCACAGCAGGCTGTTTGTTATCATTGAAAGTTCTAAAAGGTTCACCATCCCTGATTTAAAACATAGTACCATACCAGATATGCTAGTGAGAATTCCAAAGTGAGATGACAGTTGGACATATAAGTCTAAAGCCAAGGAAAGGTCTAGGATCTAGCTAAAATTGCAGGTGAGATCACTGCACTTCCCATCAGTATGTTGGCTTTAATTGAAAATGTATTTAGAATATGATGTATACTTCTGAAATACTATCTGTAGTGCATATTCTTTGCTCTTCTATGACTCAATTTAGGACACAAGCCAGTAGTGAAGAATGAAAGAAGTCCTCATTGTTAATTCTTCTATTATTTTTAATGTCTTAGTGTGAGGCTAGGGGTATAGCCTGGTAGTAGAGTACTTGCCTAGGATGCAAAGACCCTGAGTTTGATCCCCACCATCAAACACCCAGAAAGAATAAATATGCATCCCAAATGCCTTAGCACAACACCCAAGGCCTTCCCTGCAGAATATTCTGGATTCATGCCAGGCCCCTCCCTACCATGTATCCCTTTATTTCCACCACCACAAACGAATGGAAATTTCCAAAAAGTACCATTTTTCCAATCCCAAGCCTTTTACAAAATGATGCTCCTGCATCCTGGAAACATTCAGTCCAGATTTTTCTACCTTGCTCTCTACAGGTCATCATTTATGATATAATTTGGGTGTATATCACCCGTAAGAGGAGACTTTCCAGATTCTAGGCTTCATGCCCTTCTGTGTGTTCTAACCCGGGTCCATTGTTCTTGAGTGCTGATTATTTTTCCCTTCTGTCTCCCTGACAGCACCACCTTTAATACCAGG